CCGAATAATGCTGCCGAAAAGACTAGAAAAGGCAGAAGAAACTGCAGAAAATATGCGAAAAAGCAGCCAGACAAGTTGTACTATGGTAAAATACTATGAGTAACAATACAGTAAGTGAATTAATGAGTAGTGCGGAGATGTTTTTTTTGCATCATATATTCTAATATGGAATTCAGTAGAGCACATAATGGAATTTAAAAAATGATGGAATTGTAGCGAAGGCAAAACAGAAAACACAAAATATGCATAGCAATAAGTCGAATTGAAAACAAATCTGTTACGCTAACAACGACAAAACTATCTTGAACGCGAAACTGTTGAAGTACGAACTGCACGGAGTTGGTGATATTAAAATGGAACCAAAAAAAAGATCTAAAGATCTGCCTTGTTTTTATGGCAAAACGACAAATTACGCCCCACAAACAAGCGTCCTAAATTCTCGCAGCACCTTACCATCCACAAATAGCTATCTGCGGTCACCATGATTTAGATCAGGCAACCATTTACTGCCGTTCAGAGGCACTTTCTCCAGCCAGTCATCGCAGATGGTTTGATTATCCTGCAAAATATCACTAACAATAAAAACTATCGCTAGCAAAAAACTTGTCAAACCATGAAAAGCTCTTCCAAGCACTAAAATACGGTGCGTCAACTTCAGTTTGAACATATTAAACGAATCCAGTGAGGGATAACTGCAATTTCATTGCACTGTTGAAACAGCGAATAAACGTACTCGATCCAGTACAATTCCTGAACAGGCCAGTAAAGCCACACCATCGTCTTCAATGACAAAAGCGTTGCCAATATATGCATCGATTTGTGCAGCTATGCGAACAAATTTACCGTCAAGTGTGAACTCTTGAATGCGTCCAGTTTTGTCCAAAACAAAAATGTTTTCGTTGTACCTGAATGGAAAAGCACTTCACTGATAAATATCAAAAGAGTGCCAGAAAATAAAGAGACCTCTTCCTTCTTCTTACAAACTATGATTACAAGCTTAATTCACTTTATGTTCATCGAACAACTGGATGGAATGTGTTGCTCAGGTGAGCGTCGGCGTGTTGCAAAAGGAAGAAAGTGCTAGAATGAAGGAAACGAAGATGATGGCTAAACCCCTTTGCCTTGCCCAGCTGCCCTTCGGTTCCAAGTGACATGCAAATGTCCTGTCTCCCTGACCCGAGTTCCCTCTCCGTGTTGTGTATTGTGGTGATTAGAAATGAAATGTGGATTATTTTAGCGTACTACCGAATTGTGCGGCGGCAACTTGGAGCTGCTGTCGCTCTTCCTCTTTCGCCCCCCCTTTGCATTGTACGGTGACACCTTGAAGCTGCTGTCGGTTCGTTAGCGGTTGTGGGTCACTTTTGTTTCTAGTGGCGTGTTTTTGTCTTCATAATTTTTATTAATTAATTTAGGCGAGAGGCCTTCGGCCGCACCTCCCCCTCCCCCCCCCTCTTCTCCCCTTAGTTACAAATGAAGTCGAAACTGAAACATGACAAACCTTTGGATGCAACGCGGGAAGTATATTTCACCATCGTTTTTTCCCATTTTCGAGAAAATTTTGATTACTTTCCCATCCCTTGTATCAATTAGACGAAGGCGCTGCCTGTAAAATGTTCTACAGAGTATTGCGGCTTATCGACTAACATTTCAAAATTTCGTAAACACAAAAGCAACCGACTGCACAATAATTCATGCAATTTCTTAGTAAAAATGAAAAAAAATCGCGATTACTTCGAATACATATTGACGGGAATACTGCATGTAGCAGCTAGCAGTAGATTCGATGAGATGGAGCAGAGCGCCTCAAAGGCGAATTCATCCCCCTCGATCAACTGCTCCCAGCCCAGGGGGCAGTCCACATCGGCCCTAAAAAAAAACAAAACAAAAAATCTCTTAAAAAGTGCTGAAAACTTGAAGTAAGCAACAGTACACACGCACACACACACACACACACACACACACACACACACACACACACACACACACACATATACACATA